AAAAGCGCTTCGCAAAAGCGACTAAAAATTCTATTACAGTTGCAAACTATGAGCTTCGTACCCAACGTAGTGAGTCAGTAGGGTTCATCTATTGGGACAATAATGGAAACACAGGCAGTGCTACTTGCTTTTTCTTCAATAATGGTTACATTTTCACCTGTCAACATGTTGTACACATGATGGTGGGAGAAGACACAGATCCAAGTTTGTGGCCAGATATAATAAGCAAATGTGCAAAGGTAACTTTCACTTATAAAGAACCCTACACTTCTCCTGAAGAATGGTTTCACATTGAGCCATGGTTTGAAGTGTCTGATAAAGGTCTGGATTATGCCATTTTAAAACTAAGAGCAAATGGAAATGGATTCCCTCCAGGCCTATTTAAACACATTTCCTCTTTGCCATCAGGTGGTTCCGTTTATTTAATTGGTCACCCAGAAAAACGGGTAAAGGAAATAGATGAGTGTGCTGTGATTACTCTACTGGATCGTATAAAGAGGAACTTCGACCATGTTCGAAATTCAGGATACCATGCTTTCTCTATCTTTACCCCAAGAAGTTTCCCACCTGTGGCTTGGCGCGGAGATGCACTTAGTTATGATACTTGTTTTTCAAGTGGGTCCTCTGGCTCCCCAGTGTTCAATGCAGCCCACCAAGTTGTTGCTATACACTCCACAGGGTGGTTTTATAAGCATGAAGGTAGGGAGTATGCCTTAATTGAATATGCCTATTCCATGGAAGGTATTATTCATGATATTAAACAGAAAAATGAGGCCTTTCATAAACTGTTAACCGAAGAGAAAAATGAGAACCTTGATCAAGAGAAAAATAATAAACAAGAGTCTTCACTCCAACATCATCAGATGGAACCCATGAACCATTAGAAGAAAATATCCCAAGAATTTAGAGTATGTGGGACTGCTTTCTTAAAGTATAATAACTGGGTTTTCTTGATTAAAAAACATTTAGAGAATTGTATGCATGTGCAAAACACATAGTAGACTTGAAATAAATACTGACGTTCTTTCTCATTGGCTTAACAAAATGGAAACAATCTTAAGCCTCGGTTAAAATATGCATCTTCCTTATTTACGTACAAAGAATTTGGTATTTGCCACCCTAAACACCACCCTGGTGAAGTGATTCTTGTTCTGTGTCTAACAAGTTAATGGGGAAACACACCTACAAGGACCTTAGTGAAATGATGGTCCTTAAGTTCTGTTCATTCCCAGGGCGCATTCTCTCCCCAGAGATGCCAGACAATAGCCACAGCACCATTCTCTACCGCCTCTTGCCCTTCCTAACTTTTTCATATCTACAGATTCTACAAAGACAATCAGCAAGTCCCCCTCAGACAATAATTTGCTCTTCACCTTTACATACATGTTGCTACCATCAGTTTTTTCCTTAACTTTTTTCATACTATTTTTACAATTTGGCTCTGAAAGTGTGCTCTCTGCAAACCCCACCCAGCACCCAGAATCAAAGCAGTGATGGCAGTTCTCAGTGTATTCTTTACATTAGGTCAAGTTAGGAAAAGCTTTGCCCAGCATCCCACCCACACATAAACATCTAGTTTTCTGTAAGTTACATAAGAGTTGTCACCATCATCACCTACCAATTACATTGTCCCCCTCTTTAACCAAAAGTTCTAACATGACACCCAATACTGAAGGCATCTGCTCTTCTTCAGGTTCTTAAACACTAAGATGCTTCCTTGAGCCCCTTGCAAAGCACTCTTTGACTATCTGTTGGGAGAAGCCTGACTCTGGAGTCCTCCATCAGGACCCTCTATTAAGGCGCGTCCTGGACACCAGGAGTGCAGCGCTGGCCTCTCCTTCCTCCTGCTGGGCACTGTCTGCTGTGCATCATCCCCTCCAACAAGTTGGCTCATTTGCCTGCGGGAAAGTGGGAGGCAGCGTGGGGGTCCCCAGTCTCACTAGACCTCAGCCCTCTGCTTTGGGGCCACTTTGTCCTATGGGAGTTGGTGTAGCGCAGGGCGCGAATGGACGCCCGCGGGAGCTGGACCTAGTCTACGCGATTTTCCGTAGCGGCCCCAGGTTGGCCCGGGATGCTAGTCCCACCGCAGCTTCCCACCTCGCTGTGTCTGAAGGCATAGTCCACTCGGCACAAAGCACACAGGGCGGGGGGCGGGAGAGCTGTGACAGGGCGCACAAAGCAATTCTGGATGCCTGGAGCATGGTTCCCGCCCAGTGCAATCTGTTCCCGCCAGGAAATCACGGGTCCCCTGGCTCCTCCCACACCCGCTCAGTCCTGACTCAGCTTCTGGGGTGACTACCATGGACCCAGAAGGGCGGGGAAACTATGGAGGGACGGATTGCGAGAGTCTGTCACTGAAGGTCGAAGCTGGCTGTGGACCAAGTTGGGAAAGACGCAGTGAGACGCAGCAGGACCCTAGTGACAGCGAGGGCTGCTGCGCGGGGCCGGTCCTGGACTTCTAGAAACTCCCCAGTCCACCCGCCCTTTCTGGCATGCCTTTTGGCGGCAGCAACCTGGCCTTCTATTGGCCACAAGCTGTGTCCGGTGAGAAGCGCGGGCTTTCTGACTTCCTGGGGAGTGGCAGTTCACGGGAGAGCCAGATGAGCGCCATTTGCAAAGCTCCTCTCCCACTGCAGCAGTCACTGGCTCTGTTGGGGCAGATCCTCTGCTTCTGTGAGTGTTTCTTCTGCATTTGGGTGGGGCCTGGAGGTCTCAGGGGGTGATTGGCATGGCAGAATGGAGGGGTGGATAGGCAGCTTTCCATTGTGGGACCCCCTTTGCTCCCCACCTTCCAAGCTGAATACTTTTACACCTGGGAAGTCAGGAAAGGGTTTGGGGAAAATACCATCTGTTTGTATTTTTGTTGTTGGGCTGGGGGGGCGGGGGTGAGAGGGGAGGAAAGAGGTTCTTTCCTGCTGTTAGGTTGTCTCCACCATTGCTGCCCTATGCCTTCTCAGCTGAACACCTGAGGGGAGCCCTCTGCACATAACCCAGAGTTCTCTGTGTCCTGTTTGAGGAACAGAGACCAGCTCTAGCTCCTCAAAACCCGCTCTGCCTTGCTGCCCCTCCTTGCAGCCTGGCTGAATGTCTCCAGGCAGCCACCCCTGTAACCATAGGGTGCATGCACTTCATTTGTGACTGCCCCCAACCCAATGGTGTCCAGTTCCTTGCCAACATAGGCTCTGGTCGATCTGTCCCGAAGGTTGTTTCAGGCTGGTGGGACTTTCTGAAACCAAAATCTAATACTTCACCTGACTACGCTTCTCCCGTGTCCAAAGAAAGCAAAGAAGATGGCATGGGGCGACGTGGGGGCGGGGGAAGCTTAGGCAGATATGAAAGCGAAAGTAACCAGGGGTGGTGCTGGGACGCAGGGGTGCTCTGCTGGGCCTGCGTGCGGGTGCTCGGGAGTCTGCAGGCCTGGAGTGTGGAAGAAGCTGCCCGCCCCCTACCCCAGGTGGGCCAGACAGCGCTGCCCACATGCGGGGTCCAGCGGGCACAGGTTTTATTTCAGCGGATGCTTCTTGTCACGGGCTGTGTTCTGGGGGAGAGTGGCAGTGGGCTTGATGGAGGCCTAGGGTCGGCCGAGACCAGATCCCTGCTCTCTACAGCCTAGCTCAGTTCTAGTGGGCCAGCCCAGCGCCAGAGAGATGAGTGAGAAAGGAGAAGAGAAGGAGATACAGGAGGAGGGGAGAAAGGAGGAACCAGAAAGACCAGAAGAACCAGGTGTAGAGAGAAAGGAGGGGAGGGGGAAGGGAGGAGGGGGAAACAGAGAAGAGAGATGAGAGGGGAAATGAATTACAAGGGGGAGCCATTGAGTGGGCTGGAAATGGACCAGCCCGCCCAAGTTTACAAACAGAAAACTAAGGCTGAGAGAAGCTGAAGCAATTTGTACACCTGAAACCTATATAATTTTATTAGCCAATGTAACCCCAATAAATTCAATAAAAATAAAAAGAAGTTCCTGGCACATACAGTAATAGGTTCTCAATAAATAGGCTTAACAGAATGAATGAAAGTGAAATGGCTTGGTCAAAGAATTAGTAAGGCTTATATTTTGTTATGTATTATTAAATTGCCTTGCAGAAAGGCAATTAATCTATTTTTTTGTTACTTACATCTTATTTTTTAACTTTGTTATGGTTTAAATATTTAAGAAAGTTTCAAACCTTTTACCTTATGGTTCTAAGTCTTAGGGGTAGTGATGTGTATGAGTAAGAGCCTAGCAGCTTGTAAAAGCCAATTGTCAAATTTTCAGAAACTGAGAAACAGTTGTAAAATGTAGCCATTATTTTAAAATTATGTAAACTTACAATAAATAAATTATATTGAAAATAAAAGTAATAACTGCTCAAAGCATCCAAAAAATGAACAAATGGAAAACTAAGGCTGAGAGAGGCTGAAGTGTGTTTCCTGAGAAGCTCATTACCAAAAATGTTGAAGCCAGGGCTCCCACTGCATAGTGGAATGGCTAAGAGTATGAGCATAGTCTCTATTTATTTTCATCTCAAAATTTAAAAATGGTATTTATTAGTGTAATTAAGAAAGAGCTAAATTAGAGACTACTTATTCATGCTTTTTAATTGATTCTTTTTCAATTATAGTTTACGTTTAATATTATTTTGTATTAGTTTCAGGTGTACAGCATAGTGATTAAACAATCATATACCTTACAAAGTGTTCCCCTGGATAAGCCTAGCACTCACCTGGCGCCACAGTTATTACAATACTATTACCTATATTCCTATGCTGTACTTTCCATCCCCATGACTATTTTGTACCTACCAATTGCACTTCTTAATCCCTTCACCTTTTTCACCCAGCCTCCTCCTACCCAATATGGCAGCCAGCAGTTTGTTCTCTGTATTAATTAGTCTGTTTCTGTTTTATTGTTCATTTATTTCATTCTTTAAATTCCACATATAAGCGAAATCCTATGGTATTTGTCTTTCTCTGTCTGACTTATTTCACTTAGCATAATGCCCTCTAGATCCATTCATGTTCTCACAAATGGTAAGATTTCATTCTTTTTATGGCTGAGTAATAATCCATTGCATATGTTCCACAGCTTCTTTAAAATGTGGTCTTTAGATAAGTTCTACTTGACAAGCTCTACCTACTTGACAAGCTCAAGAAGAGCTTGTCAAGTAGAACTTATCTGAATTGACGCTGCACCACTTAAGGGGAACCAGCGCATAAATTAAGCAACAACATGAAGAAGTAAACCAGGGGGTGAAATTTCTGCAAACAACTTCTCTGTTCTCCTCAACAAGTCAATGATTTTTCTAGAATAAAATAAAGTTAAGAGATATAATAATTAAAGACAACTTATGTACTTCAATTGGATCTTGGTCTGAATAAATTAGTATTGTGATTATATAAGAAAAAGTCCTAAATTTTCAGAGATAGAAAGTGATGATTAGGGTTAAAATGTCATGATGCCTCTAACTGTAAAATAATCTAATAAATTTTTTTAGATGATGCATCACTGCTTTCCTGTGCCAGGTTTTAAAAAAAACTTTTTTTAAAAAAAAAAAAAAAAAAAAAAAAAAGAGCACTTGTTAGCTCTATATGATAAGTAGGTGGAGGCTCATATGATTCTTTCTTTTCTATTTGAAAATGGTTATAAAAAGTCATCAAAAGGCCAAAACCTGTTTGGCTCAGTGGATAGAGCGTCGGCCTGTGGATTGAAAGGTCCCAGGTTCGATTCCGGTCAAGGGCATGTACCTGGGTTGCGGGCACATCCCCAGTGGGGGATGTGCAGGAGGCGGCTGGTTGATGTTTCTCTCTCATCGATGTTTCTGACTCTCTATCTCTCTCCCTTCCTTTCTGTAAAAAACCAATAAAATATATAAAAAAAATTTAAAAAAAGTCATCAAAAGTATATTCTCTGAGGCTTTGTGACCTTGAGTAAATAGCTTAATCTCTATGGGTGTTCAGGTTCTTTACCAATAAAATGGACTAATCATACTTATCTCACAGGGTTGTAAGAATTATATTGGGGCCCTAGCCAGTTTGGCTCATTGGGTAGAGTATCCACCAGTCATTGATTCCCGTCAAGGGCAGATGCCTTGGTTGCAGGCTCCATCCGGACCCTGGTTGGGTGCATGCAGGAGGCAACCAATCCATGTGTTTCTCTCACATGGATATTTATACATAGCTCTCCCTCTCCCTTCCACTCTTTCTAAAAATCAATGGAATCCTCAGGTGAGGATTAACAAAACAAAACAACAACAAAAAGGATTTATATTGGGTAGTTTATGAAAAGCACATAGCAGGGCATAGTGCAGTGGTTCTCAACCTTCTGGCCCTTTAAATACAGTTCCTCATGTTGTGACCCAACCATAAAATTATTTTCGTTGCTACTTCATAACTGTAATGTTGCTACTGTTATGAATCATAATGTAAATATCTGATATGCAGGATGGTCTTAGGCGACCCCTGGGAAAGGGTCGTTCGACCACCATAGGGGTCGCGACCCACAGGTTGAGAACCTCTGGCAAAGTGCATCATACACATACTCCATTCATTGATTGATTGTATCTTTATAAATGTATCTTTACTGAGGGATTGCCATCTGACAGGCATTGTGTTAGATGAAGACAGGCAGCTGCTGCCCTTCCATGGCTTCCATTCTAGTGATATTTATCATGATTAAAGATTTCACTCTTTTATTTACATTGTTCATTCTCCTCTGGGGAGACATCAGAGGAAACAGAGAGGGGGAAATACCTCTTTAAACAAACAAAGTAAAGCAGCAACTAACATTCCTAACTCTCCAGGCAAACTCTCACTGTACATCTATTTTGTCTTTATGGTTCTTTCCCCATCATTTTCCTGAAATTACACCATCCCCTTGTGCCATATGCAATTTAAATGGAGGCCAGATTTTAACATCAGCATAGCTAGAACACACTTTTGAATTCTCCAACTGCAATTCCTTCTCTAGTGTATCTGCTTTTGAATTTTATCTCTGCCATGTAGCTTGGCCTTGAGGAGGTCACCTATCTTGTCTGAGTTGTACTTTACTCATTTGCAAAAGCAGCTGAACCTACTTGGCATGGTATCTGTGGACACTGGCAATTAGAGATAATTTTTGTAAAGTGTTCAGGATTGTTCTCTATCAAGGAGAGCCTTTATGATTGGGGTGATTATAGTTGGTGGATAAACTGTCTACTTGGTAAGTCAACATCTCTGAGAGGGGGAAGCTGGAGCTACAGGGAAAGGCCTCTGTTAATCCTGTCCTCTGTACAAATAATGGTTGCTATGATGATACTGCTCTAACTTGAACCTTTGTAGTGTTCCAGCTGAACTGCCTATTCGTCTTCAAGCCATCATGAGCTCTAAGAAACGCAGGTCACAGAAAGTCTCATTCGATGCAAGGAATAATATGAAAATTGAGGACTATTTTCCTCAGGTATGTCTGTAAATACTATTTATAGAATATATCAATATTATCCTTAGCCATCCTTGACACTGGGTTTATAGTCTTCCTGCCAAGACATTACCTCATTGAATGTAGGGAATGTTAAATAAGTTAAAATCTTTCTCATTCATTGTATTCTTTCCGTTGGGAGGTGTGGCAGTGAGGAATTTTAACAAAAATCTTATTCTTGCTTGAGTTTGATGCCCTATCAAAGCAGTCTTCAACAAAAAGCTATTGTAACATTTCCTGAACAACAAAAATCAAATATAATGTATTACAGTAAAATATGGAATACAAACAAAATTAATGTTATTTCATAGCTAGAGGATATATACCATGCAAATATGGCTGATCTTTTTGATAACAATAATACATCTGCATAGGGCTTTATAATTTATAAAATATTTTTTAAATATTTAGTCTTACTATAAGCTTACTAAGCTAGCAGGGAGGACTTTCTTATCCTCGATTTATTTATGAAGAGAGGAAAAGAAGTGCGTTGCTTCTTAAGGCAGTAGTGGAATGAATACTTGGACTCAAATTTACTGACATTAAGTGGGGGCCCTTTGTACTAATTGAACTCTGTTATGTAGCAAACCATCATATTCCTTCTTGAGTCTAAAATGCTCCTTGAATTTATTACGAAAGACTGAGAGATGGTGAGCATTTGAGAATGCAACTTAAAAGCCTTTCTTTCATTCTGATTCTAACTAGAACATCCAAATATGTAGAAAAGCCAAGCCAAGCCTAGTTCTATTTTTCTCTGTCCCACTCCATGGCAGTGCAAGCTAATAATCATGTAAGACCCAAGGTTCCTCTTTGAAACTGTTTATATCTGCCCAAGAATTCTTTGAAGAGTTGGAAATCCATCCTAGTGTTCCAATGGGCTGTGCAACAAAGATGCTTCTGACAGCATTAGGCTGGAGGGATGCCCTTTCAGAGTTCATATTTATGCCCAGAATAAATTTATATTACCTTATGTTTCTTTTGTTTTAATCCAGAGTACCATTACAAAGAAGGAAAATAAAAGTTAATTCACTAATGTGCCAGTCACTGTGCTAGGGATTGTCCCACAGGATGTTACACTTAATCTTTGCAACAATCCTGGCATTGTTATTCCCATTACCAGCAAGTGGCATCTGTTGCCACTCAAGCCATGATAAATATTTCTTGGCCAATATGTATCTTTTAGACATAGGATCAGATGCTCAATATTTCTTGGCCAATATGTATCTTTTAGACATTGGATCAGATGCTCTTAAATTTTTATTGAATTTCTGCTATTTGATTAATCCTCCTTATGTAATTCCTCTCTCCTCCCTCATCCCTGGTTTTTAAGACAATGACATATAAAAACAGGAATTGCGGATATAAAATTTACAGGAAAAGAATATGTAGTCTAATATAAAAATATTGTACTAAATATTGGAGTTCTGATACTGTCTTTATTAATTGGTTATTATGTAATCCTAAGAAAGGCACTTACAGGAAAAACTTTGTGCCTCAGTTTCTCCATCAAAAGGATAGAGATGCCATATTTGTTGCTCTTCGTTTCATAAGAGTTTGGAATAAATTGATGTAATAAAGGAAATAATTTAAGTTCTTTACATGAAAGATGCTAGGTGAATCAGGGTTTTACTATTAGAAATAACTATGTTATTTTGACCAAATAATTAGTTAACTGATGATGGTTTTGTTTAACATTAAATGCCCAGTAATAAGCCATAGTACCTTATTCTTGCTGAGTTTGGTGCGATAAGAACAAATTTTTGGTGCATCCCATCACTGTGATTAGAAAAAGTAAAAATT